CCGCTATTGCGTTGAAGCGGTTACCTTACTAAGGGTAATGGCTTAACAGGCAGTAAACTAACGCGGCAGGGTCAAGCAGAATCTAATTTTCCAATTTGTAATTTGCCTCTGATTAGAAAGAGTTCCTGGTTGCACAGTGGCATAACTCGGCTTGGAGGGGTGCTAGTTCGAATCTTGAGAAAGGCAAAATTTGTCTTAAACTCTGATTCCTCTAAGCAAAGGAATCCACCTAACGTTGCTTCGGTGCAACCATCTGGAAAACAGGCAGCAAATTACCGATTCGCGAAAACGGCGAAAGGAAACTCTGTAACCACTGAAATGTTGGTTCTCCTTTAACTTTCATGACGCAGCCATTTTGACGCCATTCTTTTCATGTAATCAGCGTTGGGCTCTAATTTCCATTGCCCCGCTGAAGCCAGTAGTGACATATTTTAACGAGACAGTGAACAGCAGCCATGAGTCAAGCATAATGTATAAATGCAATCTCCATAGTAGTTACATTAAGAACGAAATAGTTATTAATGCCTAGATATACATAAATCACCATAACTAAATTGTGAAGACAATAAGAGATAGTACGACTGATGTCAGAAATAGTTTGTGAATACCCATGAACTTGAGTTGGGAAGATGGGAAGACCACACCACACCTCTGAGTTCGGCTGAATAAAAGCGCCTTCGACGACAAACCAAATTAGACGCTATCCGTAGACAGATAAATGCTATCGTATAACTGGAACAACTCGACAAATTTAACAGACGCATGCTAGCACGAAGGCAAATAAATAAATACAAGATAGAGTCTTGATGTTCTTGGATGGCTACCGCAAGCGGTAGCATTCCAATTCTGCCACTTGCAGTAGCCAGACATTCATTCATTAATATGAATTAATAGAGGGATTATAAACTAAATTAACACCAGATGATGTAACTAATAATGCAAAGTATGTATTACATAATACGTGCGAATATAAGGTAAATAATATACCCTCTTGGCCTCAGGATGGCCACGTTGGGCGGCTGCCACCATCAGCTTCTACCGACTATGGCATATGGAACAAGTTACAGAATAAATTTCCAGATATAAATAGAAATGCTGATTTGCATATCGGAATGATGAATTACAACCACCTCACCCGTGGCACATAATGAAATAATTTCTCTCCAGGCAAATTTTTTACTGAGCGTACGACGTAGAATGCCATGTGCATCACTCCGCTCACGCACATGATGAAAAATGTCATTCAGAGACCTTAATAAGTTGTCATCCTTCGGTAAAGAGAAAGATGGGTTGATGACGTCTACGATTTGGCATTTAGATTTTTAATATCTTATCTATCTAACTTGCGCGACCGATACTGGCCCCTCCATATTTCCATATGTCAGTTACAAATCCATGGTCGTACAGTGAGGTGAGTCATCGTCCCTCTGAAAATCTCGCTGCATTTTCTGCAGTATTTCAATACTTTGCTAAGAATCTTTTCACCTTGAAAACAAGAAAGTCATCATCATCATCATCTTCCATAGCCGCTTCTCCTTTCGGGTCGCGGAAGCAAATGCTTCAGACAGTGATTCCAACGTTCCT